AAGCGAAGCGATAGGCGAGGCCAGTGGCCTGCGTGCGTTCAGCAAATGCATTCGATTCCGTCGTTATTGTCCGAGTTTACCGCAATAAGTTTCCAGGATAATCTGCGCGTGGATGGAGCTGCTAGGAGAGCCCAGGGAGGTAGCAAGAGCGGATAATGACAGGCCATGACTCGTTAGGTGCCCGTAGACCACGAACAAAAAAGCCTACGACCGAACGAACCGAGCCAACCCAACCACCGATCAGCCCGACGAATGGACAGAGAGGATAAAAAGAAAAACCAGGGCGCACCTGTGCACTAGCAGTAACACTTTACTGCCTCGATGATGTAAACGTGAACGTAAATGAGAATAAGTGGCCGGACTTAAGAAAATTGCATAGTACACTGTTGACCGTGCGCTGTGGCCGCGCTCGCTCGCTCGTTCGCTCGCGCTCCACTGACCGTTGCAGTGGATGACGTTACGCGCGGATCGATTGTTTTTGTTATCACCGGATCGACGCCCCTAGATCTCCATCTGTTCGTTTACAGCGAGTTAACGTAATCTAGCATACATTACAGATATTCTCACGATTCGAGAGACAAACGTTCCGACGCATGTCACTTGCTGCCGTTTCTTCGCTAAATCTTTGTTGTCCACGACAGAGTTTCATAAAATTTGAGTTTGACACGGAGAACGAAGCTTGTTTTATGGTAGAACGAAAGCAATCCACGCTGCAAGAAGAATTCTTGATTCTAGGATAGAAATCGTAAAGTTGGGTGAGCAGCGCGCGCGGGACTGCTCTGGCATTTTTGATTAATCTTTAATAAAGTACCATTCGTTCGCGCAATTAACCTCTAACCCTTTGTACACCATGTTCCCGTTAGCGTAAGTTGTACGATTTTATTATAGCTCGTAACCGTTATTTATAACCCATTTAAAGAAGAAATTAAATATATATTTTTCACAGCCACGGTGAATGCTTTATTCAAATGAAATTCGTGGATACGCGTTCCTTCGCTAGGAGATATAATTCCTGTTTATTAAATAATCTCCCTTAGCAAGAATACTCGGAAAAGTATGACTTCCGCGAGGGTGTCAAAGGTCGAATTATTAAATAGAATGGTGACTTCTTTTCGCGTTTCGAATTCCCGCTCGTCTGCACCTCGTTCCGTTTGTCATTTTGTCATTAATCGCATCGGGAGAGTGTTTTCTCATCCCGTGATTTGCAGCTTTTAATTTCGCCGTGCTTATTAAAATGTCGTAGTAAAGTTTCGTCGAAGCAACAGTCGATTAAGTTCCTTTACGACTAGCGGCGTAATTTCATTTTCCCTACGAAGGTTTTCCGTCTCTATTTACTCGGTAAATTGAACGTCGAAACTCTCTAATTAATGCCATTTCGCTCGCTAATTTATTTAGCAAATTGGACGTTGAAACTCCGTGAAGCTATGCATATCATTCAGTGGTCTACAAACTATTGCGCAATTTCTCGCATCGGTATGGATGCAGGTGAACATTAATATTTATTGTTTACCTTTTCGAATATTCATCTTTTCTCAGACGAGAAGAATACAAATCGGTGTATTCTTATGAAAAATGGCAGAAACATTCGTCAAAGTATCCGCTCACAACGTAACACAATGTACACATTAAATGTTTAAGTATCTAGTGTCGTCAGAAAAGAAAAAGCAGTCATTGGACATCTTTTCTGGCCTAGATATCCTTTCCAAATCAATAAAAATTTCCCAGAAACCAACCGAAAGTTTCAGCTCGGCAATTACAGAGCTCGAAAGCCACCGAGGGACAAAACACGAACCGTTTAAAAGGCAACGGTGCATGGCACGCTGCTCCGTATCTCACCTCCTCCGAATGGTCCTACGACGAAACGTCAAGAGGCAGCCTCGAGTCGTCCTCCAGGTCCCCGAAGATGCTATCGTGGCGGGACGTTATTGCCGCTTTTCATGGTCCCTCCGTAGAAGGGGGAGGGGCCTCGTGCGTCGGTCGGGGAGGTTAAACGAATAAAGGTGCGCGTGTATGACACGCAGGATACGCAAGTGCACGCGTGTATACGCGGCGAGCGTACGTACGACGAGAGAGGGCATAAACATGGCCCATTATATACACGTAAAAGCGGCATCGTCGTCGTCGTCGTTGCTCTCTCGCTCTTACGGCTCTGCTCGTGTGCGAGAGGTGAAGTTCATTGCCTCCTCGTATGCGTTGCACCGCTTGGCCACCGCTGCATCTTTGCGCACACCGCTTTCGCGAGCGAGTGCGTGCACCGTTTCTTAGCTGTGAGCGTCTCTTAACCTCCCCTCTCTGGCGCATATGTGTCGCTCGTAAATACACCAGTCACGTGCTGCCTGAAGACGTCAAAATGTGGGACGTAACTCAACCCAGGGGACACCGATGCGCGACAACTCCCACGCGATCGGGATCCTTCGGCGATCGATGCACCGCGCCGAGCTGGAAATTCGTCTTCGGTTGATCGGTTCGTTACGAAGGTCTATTCAGGGAACGGAGCGGTGATGTTTCTTTCAGCTGTGCTTTGGGAAACGCGTGAATCTTTTGTGGGGGAAAGGAAGCTTCGCTGACGAGGCAACGAACGCGTCGACTCGAGCCGTCAAATGGAGTAAGAAAATCCACCTACCGAGAAAATAAAAGATTCATACGCGACGAGGAGTTTTCCCTGTCTATCGCTCTCGTCGCTGAAAGAATATATCCAGTGCCCTATCAAAAATGAATAGAGCCGAGAGGGTCGTTATTTACACGGGGCAGGCGGTGCCGCTAATTGCCGCGCGAATCCCTTAACAAGGAGAAAGAAGATGATAAATACCGTGGGGCTGTGATAAAAGTAATTTCGCTTCCGTGCTCGGCGCAGGGTGGTTTCGGGGGTGAAATTAAAATCGAGATCAGCGCGAGATGCCGCTTTTTCCCCCGGTGTGGAAAAATCACGGGCGAAAAACGACAGAGCCGCCCGCGGAGCAGCCGACGAGAGGGGGTGAAGAGGGCTGAAGAACCAGGGGATGAAACGAGGCCGGGAGGGGGTAGGAAGGTCGGGTTAAAAAACACGGAAACGGATAGGAGAGCAACGGCATACGGGGACAAGAAGAAAACGTCGGCCAGGTAAAAGCGAGAGAGTGCAATTACCCACTGGCAGCGGAAAACAAACTAAAGGGAAATAGAGGCAACCGGCGAGGGAGACAGGGGGCGAGTGGGTACAGTGCCAGCAGGGGGGAGGGAGTGAGGTTACCGTGGAGAAGCAGAGAATAAGAGAAATGCCGTGACGCGTATGCTTCACCGAGTCAGCGCGGAAAAGAGGGAAACCGAAGGCAACGGGGAACGGAGAGGCTGGCGGGGGACTTTCATTCGCGAGACCGAGAGGGAAAGAGGCGCGTGAAACTGGCGGAAGAGAGACGGTAGACACGACGGAGAGAAGGAGACCCAGAGATTACCATATAATGGTGCCCTCAGGGCGCATAAGCTGCGCCACAGCGTTATTTCTTCGTCCCTTTTCAACGAACGGTGGCAACGGTACGCAGCCATACGATCGACCTCTCCCTCTCGTCCGCGGACCCCTCGTCGTTCCTCTCCGCGTCGCCCTCGCCCAACGGTCCCCAGGAGAACTTGTTGCGAGCCAAGCATTGCGTCAAGTCAGTCAAACGTAATCCACCTACTTACGCGACCCCTACCCCCTTTCTCGGATATCATTTTCTGCGTAGGCCATCGGAAAGCACGAGCACGCGCGGAGGTGCGCGCGCCTCGTTTGCACTGGCGCTCGCTCGGTTGCGTCAGATTACGTCGACGTTTGTCGCGCTTTGGAAACGATACTGTGGACGTTGACGTGCGATTAAAATGGATGAATGAGGCTTTTGATGATTTTTTTTTTTTAAATATTTTTGGAGCTACGGTACGATCTCCTGCTTAATTGGTAGGTTCTGCGGTGGTGTCCACCGAGTCGAGACAGGTCTTCGGATCGTTCGATTTATAAACTCTTTATAATGCATTTTTTGTTTTATTCAGCATTTACGGAACTCTTCTGACGAAGCTGTTACCGGGAACATTCGATCCATTTACTTATCAGACGAACTGTGTATACACTATGTTTTTTATCTCGTTACATTAAGAGGGGATAAAGGTCCCCCGCCCACCCTTGAGCAACGAAATCGGATCGGTTTGTTTTTCTCCAGGCTTCTCGACGGGAAATGCATTGAATTTTATAAAGAAACTGTAGATCGAGATAGCAGGTGGAGGGGGGGGGGGCGGGTGAAGGAGAAGGAAAGTACACCAAGCATGTTGATGGGCTTAGCAAGAGTGCCATAAAGAGCGTCAGCACAGTAGACGGTGTAGGAAATTTCAATTAGTCGACGTAGACAATAATTTCGATTCTTTCTTTCCTCTCAAATGAAATAAAAATATTTTTCAAAGTGCATCATGTTTGCAATAAATCTTGAAACAGTACATTTCGCAAACGGGTATTACGAATCTCGTTTAAATCGTAAACTCCATCCCAGAGCTCACCACTTCCAATTCTTTCAAATACTTCACTCTCTAATCATTCCTTATCGATTTACTCTACTCGTTACTTCGTTTCGGTTTACAGTTCCAAAACACACAGCGGCTACAAAATTGCATACGAATCAGAGGAGCAACTTTTCGAAGAAACATTCTAATTTTCCTCCGAGCGCAATTGCTCGCAAAATGCCCGCACGGTGAAACTGACTGAAAAAGAAAAAAGCGCAGAGAGAGAAAGGTAACGGGGACCAGCGCCTGGGCAGTTTAGGCTTATCAAACGCAGTTAAGCCCGCGTGTTACATAAATTCAACAATACCAGCGGTCAACGAGTAACGATAAAATTTAAGAAACGGCATTGTGCGCCGAGACGCAGCCGCGTAGAAAGGAGTCGTTAAAGGCCGCTCAACCAGTTGAATTGGCGGCTCAATGTGGCGCGTGCTACCAACACACACCGCCTCGCGTACGCTACGTACGGCCGGTGCTCTCTTATTATATTATGCATTATTATCTACTTATCGGGCTATTGTCCGTATTGACTTCATTGGATCCGATTCTGGTTGAGGGCAGAGCCTCTCTTCGGCAACAATTGAACGCGATGCGCCCGATCAAACTCGTCCCCGCTAGGAAAACACGTCGTTTTCTATGGCTTCTTCCGACCAGAAGTAACCATCACTCTGTTTACGTACATATTTCGAGGAAAGATTAAAATGTAAAACGTCTATCTTTGAGTTGCTTCATATTTTACCTTCGTTCCTAGTTTCAAGGAAATGGCTTCGAATTTTATTTTTGTCTTCGTATTCTTACCCAATGCATAGATTGTCGAGTACCTTCTACGTGTATATAATTCAACACTCTCCTTAAATGCACAAATTTCTGTACGATAAATGGACAGTAACATGATCCGGGATATCTCGATGAGACAATGCTAATGCAACGATCAAACTTCTTTTATTATTACCGTTTCTGTTGTAAAACTGTTACCATCGTATTTCTGACATTTTTCCGATTAAAATGAGACCAAACACGACGTAATTCGCAACATATTTACTACATATTGTCTCAGCGAAATAATCCCGTTGTTGGTCGCCGTTTTCGCACGTCGTTCCGTCCTCTTCTTCATTCGTTGTCCTTATCTACGCACGAAGTTTGTTGGCAAAACATTAGAAGATACAGTAACGACTGAATGGAGGCATGCAAAATCGGAGACCCAAAACGTTGCACTCGAGGTTTTTATGTGTTTACACTTGACACGAGTCGAGCGTCGAACGTAGAAAAGGACAGATAGTGAAAGGAGAAAGAGATCCGAGAAAAAAAAAAAACACTGGACAGAAGCGTATCAATCGGCGAGGATCATATTACACCGGTGGTCGGAGCTACCCGGCCAAAACTACGGGCGAAAGAAATATGAATGGGCTGGAAGCAGGGGGGTGGGTATCTGAGAGACATACAAGGTGTCCCAGCCTAAGCAATACAGAGCTCCAACTCCAAAACTATCGGCCGAATGCAAAGTTTCAAATATGGAAATTGCATGGTAAAATGGGACGCATGTTTCAGCGAGAAGGAATTTTTGTTAACTTTGTTATTTAACGAGATATGATGGTCAAGTTTCGTTTCTCAAATGGAACTATATATATATATTTTTTTTTTTATACCATGCGATAGTACTTTTCAAGACGAATTCATTAAGCTTGAATGTATTTACCCGATTTTTATTAGTTTTCAAGATAGAACGCTTAAAAGTTTGCTAATTTTTAAGGAGAAAACTCGGTTCGGTCCCATTGATGCAGTAAGCACCATGCGGTTCTTGAAATCGATACGGTGGGTCTCGTTTGGGATTCTAGGCTCAACGAAGGAAAATGGGAAGAATCCTAATATTCTGGACCTCAACAAAAAAAAATACCGCACAGTACGTACCTACATGCTATCTTGAAAACTTATCAGAGTAAAATAGCGCGACGATTTCGGAACCTCTATCTAAATTAAACAATGAAATCATATTTTACGTCGGAAGTGCCATCACCATAAAGTGTTTCCCATTCGTCATTCGTTCGAGTAAAATCTTGCCTATCGCCGCCGTCTCGTGGAGCTCTGCCAACAGCTATTATCTATTATCCGTTAGCGAGGCAGCGCCGACTTTTAGCGTGATCTGATAGGGCGGTTTCTCTGTCCTGCAGCCTCCTTCTCTCCCCGTCTTTGCCTCCTCAACTTGTTTATCTTCGCCTCTTTGTTTCTCGCTCTCTGTCCGTCGCGGCACGGTTCCCGATTCGTTGCACGTCCCTTTTCTCTGTTCAGCAACGTGTAAAAGCCTCGAGAAATCGAACGTGCTTGCGAGGTAACGAGCGAACAGCTCTCCGAACCCGACGGAAAACTAAAAGCAATCGGGAGCGTTACGAGTTTTACTGCCCTACGGGATTTCTTATCTTATTGCCGTTACGTAACCGGCCAACCAGTTATTGTAGGATGCAGGCATTAAGCTGGCGAAATAATACAGTAACACCGGCGAAATAAACCGCGCTTTGAAAGGGAGAACGGCGTAACCTCGCGACGATTTTTGACGAAATTCGCTTAACCGACCGCCACTGAATGGACACCGGAACGCCTTCTCGCGCTCATTACGAAACTCAGCCGAATTTACATTATCGTCGTTTCTCGATCGAACAGTTCCAAGTGGATTGCAACGCACAGAAGCCGCCGCTATTTGCCTTGTAAAATGGTCGCTTTATCGTGGCTGTCCGTGGAACGCTCGCAACTTCCAGATCGGTGAAATTTATTTGAAAAGAGGAACGCGGGAACTCGCAAAACAAATCGGTACTTTCCTTTCTGCCGTAATCGATTTTATTTGTTAGCTTGGCTTCTTTACCAAGACATTTTCTTGTACCGACTACTTACGAGTAAGTTCCCAATTTCAGTAAGTTTTTCTAAGTAAATTAATTTTAAGAGAGAAACGTTAGTTTATGTCGAGAAGTTTAACAAGTAGAATAAATACGTCTTGTCGAGAAACATTTATGCTCGAGGTTCTGCGAAGGGTGGTGCACACGGTTCGACTAAAGTAGATACAATGACCAATTAGTAGCTCGCATGCGGGGAGCGTTCATTCGATTAAAAATTAAATTAAAAGAGATTAATGCATCAACGTCGAGCTAGAGGTACCGCGACAGGAGTCGTTTCGAAGAGATTCGAGTACAGGTCGTGTGCGTTTCATTTCAAGATTAATTAACGGTCGACGTTAACATGCGAATGCATCGATAGCCACTCCGAATCAGTGCGACGTTGACGTGACATACAGTAATTACCTCCATTATCGGTATTAATTAATGGAGAGGCTATTTTCGAAGAATATCACGTGAACTCAATAGTTGTTTCAATACGTCAATATGCATGTTCTAGGATTGAAAACTGCTCTCAAAATTATAGACTGAGCGCCTATTCATTCATAACTGTGACTGCTGAAATTAATGCATGGAAATCAGTCGAGTCTTGTTCGTTATCAGCTCCAGCGTTCTTCCTCTAAACTCAAAGAAATGAAATGTCCAGAAGACTTCGGCGCAAAGATTCTCGGTTAACAGAAGCTTCGGTCTTCCCTTTCCAATTCAAATTTTAACGCTGCCGTTAATTAACTCGGCGGAGCGACGCGGAAAGGAGGGAGCACGGTTGCAGCCAGATTAACTCGTCGAGGTGTCCGCCGCGTTCGAGTTCACGTGCGAGCGTACGAGGAATGCACGCCCATTTTGCGGATGGCCTAGGGCTTCCATAGCGCGATACGTAACATTAAACCTGGCCGACGAAGAAGAAGAGTGCCAGGTTGTAACCCAATAGGAGCCGGTGCTGGACACATTTGTGGCATGCGCCAGCTTCGCTCTCGTCTCCGCTCGCGCGCTTCCCTGGCCGTTTTCCCGCTCGTTTTTCTCTCCACGACGCTTCGTTAGGTCGTGCGTTTTAATTAGAAACGGAACTACGGATTCCCGCGGAATTTACCTCGCGTTAACGCCGATTTATCGGCCGCGTTCCTCCTATCCTCTTCATCTTGATCTTCGAGACACGCGCAAAGTAGGAGAGACTGCGCGACGAGGATCTTTCGACTTCTGTTTATTAAAAGGGATTTTTATGGGTGGATATAAAGTAGAAAATCTGGTGGAGGAATTTTGCATTAAATTGTAGCTATACGTTACACCTTGTTAAAGAGTGCGAATGTTAATCTCATGTATAGTACAGTCCCGAACAAAATGATAGAACGTTTGATGCATTTGTATATTTCATATAACATAATAGGATATATAGACATATTACTCACCCTATGTATTAGATACGTCCTTCAAAGTATCCACGTAGAATGCAAATTTGTATCTTTGAGTCGGACAAAATGATAGAACATTATTCAAAAATATATTTGTTCGAACAGAAATACTTTATCGTATTCTAAATTAATATTTAGTGAAACTACCTTTTCGCTGTATAATATCTACTAAACGATTAGGAATTGATTTAAATAATTTCTTAATACGTTTTTGTCTTAAAAGACTCCAATTTGTAACAATATTTTGTTTTAATTTGTGTCTCTTCCAATGGTTAGCTTCAGTTTATAGATCTCAGATTTCACTTGAACAGAAGAACTAGCTTCAATGTGTCATGTTAGTCGACACGAAGCATTCGTAAAGCCTTCTTCCACATCATCCTCATCCGTATTTACAGCCAGGAGTAACAGTTAGAATTAATCTACGAGGTGCCAGGGAAAACAGGACTGGTTTCCTACATCTGATCTAGACCAGCCTTCGCACGTCTCGCACGCCAAGAGAAATGTTTCGCGGCGGCCCTTTAAATTATTTCAGTAGCCTCCCAGATGAAACGATCGTTCTCGGATAGTTAACCAAGGTGTTGCATTCCTTGCAATAAATTTCCCTCGAACTGGATATCACCTTCTGCTAATAAACTCGAAGCAATGCAGGCTCCAGGCTGCCCTGGGACTGCTTTAACGCGAAATGAACCTGGACGATGGTAAAAAGGGAGTTGAAAACGGCTCGCGAACGACTACTACGCGTATGGTCACGTCGAGGAACCGTATAGAGCGAAGAATGATCATTTTTGCCGCTCGCGCGACAGGATTATATTCATCATCTCGGTGGAAAGCCGAGGATCAACGCGCGGCTGATTATACGCATCACGTAACAGCCTATGAATACAACGCGCTGCTAAGGAGTCGCGAGATTTAATCTCGTCGTGAAACAGGAGTTGGAGATTAATCAATATGGGTGGAAGTTATCACTATAATTTATACCGCGACTCGCGAGAACGAGGGTGGACGCGTGGCCGTAATGCGAGCCTCGCGGTAAACTGGAAATCGTGGCTCAATTGTTGCACACTGAACTGTTAGCTTGTTTCACGATGACTTCGAGAATCACGATCGAAATACAGTTGGATATTAAGATAATAATTATAAAATTATTATTTTTTGTTTTGCTCCTTTGTTTTTCAATACGCACAAGAATTAACACTAACTCTACCGCGATCGGTCCAATGACCATCTTCAAGATTTAGTATAGATTTCTTGTATGCAATGCATGAATTATATACAATTGTTTCGTGCATTATTCAATTCAGTTTCGCGTAAAATATCATTGCATTTAATTCGAAAAAAGTGTCAATAAGACTAGCCACTTGTTCTATATCACAGTAGAAATAGTTATAAATGAACGTCGGTAGGTTTAGCGATAAATTTCATTTAAATCAGTTCCTATATCGAAGTGTCCCATGAAATTTTTCTCAAATATTAAAAGACGCCAGGACCAGTTAGTTTAAGGAGGCCTAAGAGGATCATACTTATATGTATGACTCAACTTGCATCGAAATCTTCTCATTAACCATGTTAAGTAGAACGTTACTTCTATATCTTCAAACCTTTGATTCTCGGGATCCCCCAAAGAACTCCCTACGTTCACAACCCCATAATCCCGCGTTTCCACACGTCCCAATTTGTTCACGACCATTCATCGAACTTGGCGGTACCAACCGTGCACAGAAAATTCTGCATCATGGGCGAGACGCGGACGCGTGGCCGGTCGGTTGCACCACGTGACGACTGCAAAAGTAAGTGGCTGACTTAAGTCGAAGCTGAGTCGGGCACAGGTGTGCGAGCGTAATCGCGATGTCACGGGCGAGTCACGGTCCTCTGCCCTCTCACATCATTCCCCTCTTCTTCTTGCTCTTCGGCAATCTCCGCTTTTCCTCTCCTTTCTCCGCGCCCTCCTTCTTTCTTCTCGTCGTTACCGAGCGCAGGCGTCTCCCCGTCGAACGTAAGCGGCACTCGAGTCCGCTTTCTGAACGTCGTCGACTCGCCCTTTCTTACCCGTATCGTAATATCTTGTTTTATCTGCTCGCTTTGAAGGTAACTCGTTACGTTCTTGTTGATCCGACAAGGTACATTTTCACCGGCGCAACCCGCTCGACGCGTGAACGCGCATCGTCCTCGCTCCGTCCGGTTTTTGGCTCGTTTAATCACCGACCGTGGTGCAAATCGCTCCACGACGCGTTTCGAGTCCTTGCTGCCAACTCCGCGTATCGTTCGACTACATTTATGGAGGATGGTAATACATGGAAAGCCGAAATATACATAATGTATGCGTAATGTATTCCGATTAGTTAATATAATAGTATTAATGTTTCGTTTTGCATATGGGGATACCTCTCCGGTATGTTTAGCATATATTTTTTGTTATATTGGCTTGTATTACAAATGCATACGAACTACTGTTTAATTATTACGATATAGACATTCCGCTTGGATGGTTCGATCATTTTACAGTGGACTTCTAATAATTAAGTCACAATTATATGTTGGAGATACTTGTAGATGCTCATCTTTTGGTGTTTTCAAAGTCCAAACATAGAATTTCCATCGATTTTCTATCAATTTCAACGAGAAGCAAGTCTCGAGTGCACGATGACTAATACCTGTGCAGGTATTTGCAAGTTCTCCGGCATTTCCAGAGGCCCCTCGCGTGGGAGGAAGGGGCGAAACGTGTC